AAATGTAATAATTCCAGCTATGCAAAAGTAAAATGGGCTGCCTTGGAAGATAGTAGGTTTTCTTTCACTGGAATTCTTTAAAGGAATTCCAGTGAAAAATTCAATTCATTCAAGCAATTTTTAAAAATCTGGCTACTTGGGAATTTGCTTTAAGGGCACTCTTTTTCACATATAGATGGGACCCAACACTACTGAGGTCCCTGAAATTCTATTATTCAATGATTCTTAATTTTGTCTGTCTGTATCTCTAGCTCCCTTTCTCTTTCTCCCTCCCCTTGCTGTTTCTTTCCATTTCTCTGATAGACCTTTTGTCTAAATCTTGCAGCTCACTGATCACAATTATGGCAAATTTTCAGGCAGTGGGATAATTAATTGGAAATTATAGCTTTGTGAATATTTACTATAAAAGTATACTAAATTTCTTCATATACAATAAGATTTGCAAAATTTTACATTTTAAAAATGTTTACATGTCACCCTTTTCTTTCTATGACTTATTTTTAAATGTTGTGGCATTAAATTTACAAGATTTTAGCACATTCCTTAATTCTTTATTATTAAACCTTCTACTACCCTGTATATTAAGTCTGCCTTTAAAAATATATAATGCATTTTTTTCAAGTGGAATTTATTGGTTTTCAGTGGTATTTAAATCTGATGACTTTTCCGACTATTGGAGCATGTTTATCTCCATTTCTTAATACATTCCTTAATTTTTTCCCTATATGGCATGAGCAAGTTTTCATTGCAGTAATTATTATCTATTTTTGAGTGTATGTTTTATATTCTGATAGAGATATCTACATGTTATATGTTCCTGACAAGATTTTGTTTAGCTTTGAAAGAAAAAGTTAATTTTATCAATAAAAATTAACCTTTTCCAATTTTCAATCCTATAGTCTATTGTTTTGCTCTCAACAAGAATTTTTTTATTCATAGCAACCATTAACAGCTTTTGAAAAATTGGTCTTCTCACTGTTCTTCCAACCTTAAGCAGTGTATGGCTTCATTTTTTTTTAATATTTAGTGAAAAAAATCCGTTTTAGCTTCCTCACATCTACTCCTCTTTTTACAAAGGGAAACAAGCAAAGTAAATTCCCACATTGAGCATGCTAAAAATGTCTCTTTCTGCATATTTAATGCATATTTTTCTATCTGAAAGTGGATAATATTCTTCATTATAATTTTTTCTGGAACAATGTTTGATTTTATCGATCAGATTCCTTAATTTTCAGATTCAAAATTTTCACTTTAGTAATATTGTTATTAAAGTATAAATTATTTTCCTGCTTTTGCTCACTTCACTTTCTGTCATATACAGTTACTCTCAGGTTTCCCTGAAATGATCTTCTTTTCTTTTTGCATAATAGCATTCAATTAAATTCATATACCATAAGTAGTTCAACTGTTCACCAAATTATAGGCATGCCCCTGGTCTGAAAGTTTGTTTTTACTATACCATTTTTCTCTTTAGTTGATCTTCTTGGATGTCTGACTAATCATGGAATTGCTGGGTCAAATGTTATGCATAGGTTAGTAATTTTGGGGGGGTATAGTTTCATATTATTATCCAGAATGGATGGATCAATTCACAGCTTCTCCTAGCACACTACTATGCCTGTTTTCCCACAGCTTTTCTAATATTTGAATTTTCTCCCTTTTTTAAGCTTTGTCAATCTGATGGGCTTCAGAATTGTTTTTCTTTGCATTCCTCTATTATTGATCAGGAACATTTTTTTAAGAGATTCTCTTTTTTTTTTTTTTGTGAGACAATTGGGGTTAAGTGACTTGCCTGTGGTCACATAGCTGGTAATTGTCAAGTGTCTGAGGCCAGATTTGAACTCACTGACTCCAAGGAGGGAGCTCTACGCACTATGCCTTCTAGCTGCCCCCTAGGAACATTATTTTTTTCACATGGCTATAAACAGCTTGAATTTTTTTCCCCTTGAGAACTCCCTATTCATGGACTTTAAATTTATTCATTTGAGAATATTTTTATTCTTACAAAATTGAATCATTTCCTTATATGTTGGAAATGAGATACTTTTTTTTAAAAGAGGAACTTGCTGCACAAATATTTTATTTTCTCCCAGTTTACTATTTCCCTTCTAATCTTAGATGTATTTGATTTATTTGTGGAAAACCTCTTAAAAATCTAATCAAATTATTCATTGAATGAATTGTCTTTTGGTCACAAATTATTCCCTCCTCCATTGATTGAAGTGGTAATTTCTTCATTCTTTCTCTTATTTGTCTATGATATTATTTTTTCTTTATTTCATGGTCGTATGTATCCCTTTGCAACATATCTGAGAGTGGAGTGTAAGCTTTTGCTCTCAATCTAATTTCTACCATAATGCTGTAGTCGGACTCATTGGATTCATTGAAGCTTTGACTACTAGAATGGTCAGCTTCTATATACTGTGTGCCTAATCCATTCCACTGATAAATTTCTTTGTTTTTAATCAGTACCAAATCATTTTGATGATTACTACCTTCTAGTTTAGTTTGAAATCTGTCACTATTAGGACCTCTTCTTTGTTATTTTCATTATTTCCCTTGAGATTTTTGACCTTTTAATCTTCTAGATAATTTAGTATTTTTCTCATTCTATAAAGCAATCTTTTGGTAGTTTGATTAATCTGGTAAAGAATAATTAAATTAATTTAAGTACTGTAGCCATTTTTAAAATTACATTTCCTTGGCATACTAATGAGGAATTAATATTTCCCTATTCATTTAGACCAGTATTTTTAACTGCTAAATCTTTTATCATGTTGAATGTATCTCCTTGAAACTTTGGCTCTTTCCGGTCTCTCTACTGTTTTTCTCCATTTACATATTTTTTTTTTCCTTTGGCTTAGAAACTTTTTATTTGGCTACAATGTTCCTATGTGTTTTCATTGTGGAGTTTATTTTAGGAGATGATTAGTGGATTCTATGTTCACTTTGTTCTCTTGATCTAATGTGTCTGGGTAGGTGTATTTCATGACTAATTTAGTTCATGAACTTGCTATTCCTCGTCTTTGATATCCTAGGTGAAAGCCTCCATAGTGACTGAATTCCATGCTTACCTCTGCTCTAAACCCTGAAAGGTGAGTTCACTTTTATGCACTAGGGTCAGAGAAAAAGTGAGGCCATTGTTGATCTACCCTTGTTCTGAGACTAAGAATTGAGTCCTGGGCCCTAATCTTCGATCAGAGCACAATACTGTAGCATTCTGGTGGGAGGAAGTGAAGATAAGTCTAAAATTCCTGTTTTGGGACAGCAGAACAGAAATGGGATGGGTTTATGATCTGCTTTATAGGCCAGAGGGACAATTTTGTGATCCTGTTATGAGTTAGGAAGTGAAGAGGAGGTTAAGTCCACAATCTCTATTTCTGGGTCAGAGGAATACTGTGCCCCTGTAATTAGCCTAAGGTCTGGGTCTCTAATCCCAGTCTGTCCCAGGACCATATCTCTTGCACTGGCTTGAGTCAAATTTGTGATCTTGAGTTGGGAAAATGGCACACTGATATTTTTTGTAGAAGATTTCTGGATCACTACTTGGTCTGGTTAGAGTAGTTCTGGGAGATTATGGACTATACCTCTTTTTCCTACTCTACCATCTTGGTTGATCACCTTTATGCCTCTACAAGAATCAACTACAAGCTCTTTAGCTACCCCATCCCTCTGAAGGCCTTTGCTTCTTTTCTGAGGATTAATTAGGCTGTATAGAAGCAAGAGTTTGTCAAATCTTGGTTTTATTTTTTGTTTGTTTATTTTCAATCACACTTTCCTTTGTCCTTCATTGCAACTGATTCCATTCATTGTGGGTTTTCTTGAGTGATCCTTGAAACTTTTGGCTACCTCACAGCAATAGCTATTTCCTTATCTCAGAGATAATTGAAGTTTATCTTTAAGACATAAAACCTTGTCATGTTTTCTTGGAGTAATAGCCATTCTTAAAACTCTACCAAATACAGTAAAATGCAGTAAAATAGAGAAATGGAATGTGTCTAAAACATAAAATTCAACACTCAACTGTCAGCAACTAACTAAAGTGGAGAAATCAGCTGAAATTCTATTTCATCTGATCAAGGTTAGATAGTCTGATTCAGCCTAGTGTTGATAGAAACACATACTTATGACCATTGCTGTGATTAAAAACAAAACCATATCAAAATTATTGCCTGCCAGAAGTAATTCAAACCCTAGAGTAAATTCCAGGTAAATTCTAATACAAATAGAAGCTCATTGAACTTTTTCTGTAAGTAGAAACCATATTAGCCAATTAGATCAACCTGCTTTAGTCAACCGTGCTACTAACATCTTGATATTATTATCTTTCTTGTGCTTAAATGGCTATTTGCAGCCTTAAGTTCAGTAAGTTATTCCCTTAGCCAGGATTTAAGTCCTCTTTATCACCAAGTTAAACTTCAATAAATATGTTTTATTGTGTATTTTATGGATCATTTTCATCTAATTCATTTAACAATGAAAAATGAATTTCATATTTAAGTGTTCCAAAGGAATATGTAAGTAATATTGTTGTCATTTCTCCCCTTCTCCCATACATACAAACTCTCATAGTGGCTGATTAAGTTACAGAAAGGCATGAGAACATACATGGAACGTTTTATAATGGCCAGTGTGATTTCAATTTTGATTTGACAGCATTTAAGAAGGACTATTTGACCAAAGTGTTTGGAATTAGTAGACATACATCATTATTTTACATGAGAAATATAACACTAAAGTTACCTTTTTTTTAAAGTTACCCTGTGCAATCCCAGAAAAAGATATCACCCTTTCATTATTATCACTTTCAAGCCCTTTTCATTATCATTCTCTGAGCATTCCATAAAATAACAAGTATCAGGGCTCACAGCTGCATAGCATCACTAATGTTTAATTGGAGGCCTAATGCAGCAGGATACTAGCTATATTCATCAAGTTTTCCTCATATGGAATGAGAAAATGATTTGCTTTAATGGGATGATTTTTATACACTTCTCTAGGTCCCCAGAGTCATTCACTGCATACTTCCTCCCAGGCAGCGATCAGGAGTTTTTTGTAAAACCTCAGATGGGAGAACTTCTTCCAGTTCACACTGCTGGAACACTTATCAGGGTTGGATTCAAGCCACGAATGTACAGCAGGAAGCATCAGGCAACATTAGTAATACAGGTGAGTTCTTGGAAAACCAAATAGTCAAGTATTTTTGTATGTTTTTGGGAAACCCAAAAATGTTCTTTCAAATACCTTAAAGATGTGTCTGTGTGTATGTGTGTTTCTTTTACATCTTCTCCATTGATCATGCTAGTTAAATTAACAAAGTGTATTTCAAAGTTTTCACTTAAGGAGTTTTGTATACATCTTGGCATAAAATCACAGTTGACATTCTTAGAGAAAATATTTGGCTATAAAATGTAACAAGAAATCTAGTACTGATTGAAAGTGAGCTTAAAAGAGGGCAGAGCCAAGATGCCAGAGAGAAGGCAGGGTCTCTCCTGAGTTCTCCCCCAAACCCCTCCAAAGACCTTTAAGTAATTCCCTAAAATAAATCCTGTAGTGGCAGAACCCGCAAAAGGACAGAGTGAAACAATTTTCTAGCCCAAGGCAACTTATGTTTGGCACATAAGATCTCTCACACCATGTTGAGAGTGGAGCACCATCCAGTGTAGGCCATGCCAGTGCAGAGCAGTACACAACAAATCGGGTGAATGAATCAATAGCTGCAGTGACTGCTTCTGGATCTCTAAGCCCACAAATGGTGAGAGGGTTGAACATCTGATCAGAAGGAGATTACAGTCATTTCTTTGCTGGCATTGGGGGGCAGGACTCTGTTGCTTTGCCCATACTCAGATCCAGGTTGCAGTCCTGGGTGTCAGTCCCAGGTTAAGGAAGAGGACTAGTACTTCAGAACTAGCAGCCACAGTGAAACTAGGACACTCATCACAGTTCCAGAGCAGAAGAGAGTGCTTATCTTTGTTCACAGACCAAAGCATAGGCCAGAAGAACAGTAAACACTCCTCTCCTTAGATCATACCACCTTGGAAAAACTGAAAATTTATAGGTCCCTAGAAGTATCTCTGAAAACAGCTGAAAAAAAAAAAACCGCTGAATCATGGGACAATGAGCCGTCCATACTGGAAGCAGAGCCTTGCTTTGACGAAGAGTTAAAAATCAAGAAACAGGTAAGAAGATGAGCAAACAACAGAAAAAATATGACTATTGAAAGTTACTATGGTGACAAGGAAAATCAAAACACACACTTAGAAGACAGCAAAATAAAAACTCCTACAACTAAAGCCTCCAAAAAAATATGGATTGGTTTCAGGCTATGGAAAAGCTCAAGTAGGATTTTAAAAGTCAAGTAAGAGAGGTAGAGGAAAAGTTGGGAAAAAATGAGAATGCAAGAAAATCATAAAAATAGAGTCAACAGCTTGGGAAAGGAAGCACAGAAAATGCTAAAGAAAAATAATACCTTAAAAAGCAGACTAGGCTATATAACAAAAGAAGTACAAAAATCCAATGAGCAGAAGAATGCCTTGAAAAGCAGAATTGGCCAAATGGAAAAAGACACAAAAATTCACTGAAGAAAAGAACTTATTATAAAATGGAATTGGCCAAATGGAAAAGGAGGTACAAAAGCTCACTGAACAAAATAATTCTTTGAAATTTAGAATTGAGCAAGTGGAAGCTAATGACTCTATGAGACATAAAGAAACAATAAAGCAAAGCCAAAATAATAATAATAATAATAATGATGATGATGATGATGATGATGATGATGATGATGATGATAAACAAACTAGAAGACAATGTGAAGTATCTCATTGGAAAAACAACTGACCTGGAAAATAGATCTAGGAGGGGTAACTTAAAAATTATTGGACTTCCTGAAAGCCATGATCAAAAAAGAAACTGCACATCATCTTTCAAGAAATTATCAAGGAAAATTGCTGTGATATTCTAAAACAGAGGGTAAAATAAAAATTGAAAGAATCCACTAATCACATTCTAGAAGAGATCCCAAAATGAAAGCTCTCAGGAATATGAGTTCTCAGGTTAAGGAGAAAATATTGCTAGTATCCAGAAAAAAAAAATAACATTCAAGTGTTTTGGAGCCTCAGTCAGGATAGCACAAGATTTAACAGTTTATGCATTAAAGGATCAAAGGGGTTGGCATATGATACTCTGGAGAGCAAAAGAGCTAGAATTACAACCAAGAATCACCTACCCAGCAAAATTGAGCATAATCCTTCAGGGAAAAAATAAGTATTCAATTAAATAGAAGACTCCCAGGCATTCCTAATGAAAAGACCAGAGTTAAATAGAAAATTTGACTTCCAAATACAAGACTCAAGAGAAGCATAAAAAGCTAAACAGGAAAGGGAAGTCATAAGGGACTTAATAAGGTTAAACATTTTGCTTTCCTACATTGGAAGATGATACCTGTAATGCATAAGAACTTACTTATTATTAGGGCATTAAGATGGAATATATGTGTGTACATACATGCATACACATACATTTATGTACACACATATATACACACACTCACAAACACGTGGATAGATAGATAGATAGATAGATAGATAGATAGATAGATAGATAGATAGATAGATAGATGAGGTATGAGTTGAATATGATGGGATAATTATCTAAAAATGCAATTAAGGGGTGATAAAGATGAATGTACTGGGAGAAAGGGAAAAGGAGAGGTAGAATGGGGTAAATATTCTTCCATAAAAGAACCAAGACAGATCTATCTATTATAGTATTACAGAAGAGGATAAGATGGCATAAGTGGCAGGGAATGCTTGAACCTTACTCTCATTGGAATTATCTCAGAGGGAATAGCATACACACTCAATTGGGTGTAGAAATATATCTTACCCATGAAAGTAGGAGGGGAAGGGATATGAGAAGTGTGGTGGGTGCTCATAGAAGGGAAAGTTGATTGGGGGAGACAATAGTTAGAAGCAAAACACTTTTGATGAGGGACAAGGTGAAATGAGATAGAGAGAATGGAATAAAAAGGGGCAAATAAGATGGAGGGAAATACAGTTAACAATCATAACCATAAACAATTTTTGAAGCAAATTTCTCTGATAAAGGCCTCATCACTCAAATATATAGAGATATAAAAATAAGAGCCATTCCCCAATTGACAAATGATCAAATAATATGAATAATTTGTTTTTACATGAAATAATCAAAGTTATCTATAGCCATATAAAAATACTCTAAATCACTGTTCATTGGAGAAATGTAAATTACCACAATACTGAGGCACTTCCTCCAACCTATTAGATTAGCTAATAGGAAAGAAAAGGATAGTGATAAATGTTGCAGGGATTGTGGGAACATTGAGGCACTAATGCACTGTTGGTGGAATTGTGAATCGATTCAACCATTATGTAGAGCAATTTGGAACTATGCCCAAATATTTATAGCAATTCTTTTTCTGGTGATAAAGAATTAGAAACTGAAGAGATGCCCATCAGTTGGGGAATGGCTGAACAATTTGTGGTATATGATTGTGATGGAACACTGTTGTGATGTAAGAAATCATGAGCTAGATGCTCTCAGAAAAACCTGGAGAGACTTACATGAACTGATGTAAAATGAAATGAGCAGAACCAAGAGAATGTTGTACACAGTAACAGCAATATTGTGAGATATCAACTGTAAATGACTTAGCTATTCTCAGCAATGCAATGATCCAAGACAACTCTGAAGGATTTATCATGAAATATGCTATCCATCCCCAAAGAAAGAACTAATGGAGTCTGAATACAGATCAAAATATTAAAAACTATTCTGTCATGTTTTATTCATTTTAAGTTTCTACATGATGGAATATTACTGTGCTCCAAGAAATGAGCTGTTTGATTTTAGGAAAACATGGAAAGATTTGCATGAAATAATTAAGAGTGAAATGAGCAGAGTCAAGAGAATGTTGTATACAGCAATAATCTTCAAAGAACAACTGTGAACTAAATTGTTCTGATCATTATGAATACTCAAATCAACTACAAAGGCCTATGAAGGAAGATATTATTCACTTCCAGAGAAAGAGCTGATAAATAAAAGTATACATAATATATACACATATAAATAGAAGTATACATAATTTGGTGTGTATATATATGTTATATATATATACACACATGCATACACACATGCATACACACATACATACATACATACATACATATATCTATCTGTGTGTTTTGGTGGGGAGTGAGGGAGGGAGGCAGTTCAAAACTTAAAATGTAACAAAAATAAATTTTAAAAAAAATTAAAAAAGAAAATGAGCTTGATATAAACTTAGAGAACTCTAGAATGAGAGAAATTATGATTTTTCAGGCAACTCAAAAATTTTAATGTAATGTGATACCTTATAGGAGGCTGACCTTGTGATTTAAACAGATTAAGGGACTCCCGTTGTGGAAACTCCTCTATAATGTAGATAGACAATTTGTTTGTAACTAATTTGTCATTTAACTTTTTGGAGAGTTGCTGACTCTACTGAAACTTGCCCATAATCATTTATCACTATGTGAGAGAGGTAGGTCTTGATACTCAAGCTTCCTGCTTTTTATATTGACTTTATATTAACCGTATCTCATGACAACACTATATCATAAGATTATATATATCAAAATAATGATACGATAGCTTATTGATCTGGAAGAGAGCAGCAATTTTTTTATCCTTAGAAAAATATTTAGCATAGGGGCAAAATAAAAGAGTCAGAGCTAGGAAAGGAGTAAGAAACAAGATGAAATTAATCTTAATTGAAGTCCATTCAAGAGGAAAGTAGCTGCTTTTTTCTACTAAAACACTCTATAAAGAGATATTGATTGCTACACATGAACAATGGAATTTATGGTAAAAATGTCTTTTAAAACTTCACTTTTATTTTGGCAATTTTACCTTTTGAAGAAAAAGAATGTACATTTAACTTTTCTGAAAATATCTTGATTCTCATTGTCTATTTTCAGTATTTAGGCCATAAAGGGTATGAAGACTGGTGTTTTAATATGCATCTCCAAGTGCCAGAGTTTTTATTAGGTTTATAAATCAGAAACTAATTACTAGTACTCTGGACAGAAATGTATGGGATGTCATAAAAATAAAAATAAAAACAAACCAAAGGATGCCTCAAATAGTTA